ACGTGCAATTCCTGGTGCCTCTGCCCACTCTGACTGTGGAATTGGGAAAGAGTAGAAGATGGATACAGCTGAGGTGAGTGTCACCCTGAACAAATGCTGTAAAACAATTCAAAACCAGATCTCTCTGTGCATACTATTGATTACCTCTGCTGAGTGCTAACCAAGCAAAGCAGGCTTGCAGCACTGGGCCACAAGCTTGAGGCTGTGATTTGGCAAGGCAAGATTTGGCACTAAGTGTAGGACCTGGGAATTCTCTCCTCTGCTGGGGGCTCCTCAGGTGCCACTGGGCACATTTGAGTCTTTCCCTGCCTCAGTTTCCACACCAACACAGGGATGTCATTAACAGTAGTGGCTGGAGACTGTTTTTGGGAACTGTCCTGTGCCACATGGGAACAGCTATTGGCTGAAAACAGCCGTTTCAACAGCTGACTTGGAGGTACTCGATACACTCTTGGTTTCAGCCAATGAAAGTGGCACATGTCAGAAAAGCAGGAATGAACTCTTGACATTTCTGGAATATGTTAATGTGTGTGCTTTAGCCAAAGAGGAGGGAAGGGAGCACTACAAACAAGCTAGTTTTGTGGTTGTGCTGCCATCACCTGCTTTTAACTAATCCCCTTATAGTTAGGTTTTATATCAAGGACACAAAAGATCCAAGTTGAATCCTGCCTGACCCATTGAGAGTGGGGAATTGGCTTGAGGTGCCCTATTACCTTTATCATGACTGGATTTTAAAGCCCTTCCTGATGTCTTTTGAGTTCCATAAGTAACTCAGTAGCTTTAAGAAACTGAACAGAGGGTGTCTTAATTTCTTTTGCATTATGAGAGCAGTGGAAGGCTATGCTTTTATTTATATAAGGAAAATAACTTTTCCTGTCAATTTAATAGGCAATATTGGAAAACCTGCTACAGGTTATTGGTGAGATCTTCTCATAATTTTCTTTTCTAAATTGCAGTTGCCATTCTTATCAAAAAGAAAGAAGGAAATCTTTTAAATACAGTTGCAGATAGTGGTGTAGCTCAAGCTCTCAAGGACATCAGTGGGGGGGTAGTAGAGTCTTTCAGCAGTAAGATTTTGCCTTTGCTGCCAGAAAGGTGTATTTTTTTATATCCAGTGTAATTAACATGAGCGCTATCCCAGGGTAGAAATAATTCACTCTGTGACATAACTGAAATGTCTTGTCTGTGCTGTCTGGTTTTGTTTTTAACCTTGGGCTTAAAAGGAACCAAAATCTTTAGTTGTAAAAGAGCATATCATCTGCAAAATATTATAAGCCATTTATCTTTATGCACAAATGCCACCTAGCAGTGCAGCTCCACTTGTGCATCATTAAATGCACAGACCGTAGTCATTTTGCCCCTAACTAATAACAGTCTCCTCTAGGAACGCTGGGTGTTCCAGACAGCCCTGGAAGAGGCCAGAGCTGATGCTCAGGCCAGGCAGAGAGGGCTGCTGCCCTCGCTGGGGCTCTGCTCGGGGTTGCTGTGCAGCTGGAGCCAGAGCTCTGGGATTCTGCAGGAACTGCCTGGGTGGGGTCACAATCCTGGCTGTGAACTGTGTGTTTGTCAGCCCCTTTCCTGCTGCCATGGTTTCTCCAGGCAGTGTTGGAGGGGCAGAGCTGAGCCTGCTTGGCTGCCTGTGTTGAAGCAGTGAGAGCAGGTTTGGGTTTCTCAGGTGAGCCAGAGCTCCCAGGCAGGTGCTGTGCTGGTGGGAGCAGCAGCAACAGGAATGTGGCTGCCTGGGTACCACGGGCACCATCATACCCTGCTGCTTGAGGCCCTTCTGACAAGGAGAAAATTGACCAAAACAACAAATAGACTCTTTGGAAAGTGAGAGTTTTCTGACAGCCCTCCATGTAAGTGCTCCTGTCCTTGTAGGTAAGAGTCTCAGTAAGTTGTTCCAGCTGAAGGCTTGCCCCAGTAATTACTCCTGCCAGACAAGTACTCATTCACTGTGAAAAGAGGTTTCCTCAGCTTTGGGTAGATGCCAAGTTAAACTTCCACTAAGATTTCTTATATTTGCAGCCACAATTGATTACTTTTCTCATTATTTGCTCTTGATATAGAGACATACGGACTGAGCCATGTTTGTGTTAACCCCCAAAGATTTTTTTTCTTTAGGAACATCCATCATAGTTGCATGCAAACTGTTCTGCTCTGGCACTCCTAGCTGATATTAGCTGGGTTTTTTTTCAGAATTGCTACATGTGACAATTGGTATGGATCTGCCTAAAGAGCTGCAGTCTTCTCAGCTAACCAAGAAAGCAATAGTGATTTGTTAGATGTGCAGAAAAATGCATGCAAACAGCCCTGGAGAGTGTGGAGCATGGTTGTGCATAAACCTGATTGTTGGAAAAGATTTTACAAGTTGACTCCCAACTATTCACCAGTTACTAATTTTATATATGCAATAAAAATTCTGAGGGAGGGGGGAACCCCACCCTTTTTCACCGCTGATTTTCAGGAAATTTGATGTTAGAACTTCTAAGAGAGAAGAGGCTCTTGGATGTGAAAAATACCAGAGTCAATTGCCATTCAGTTTTAATTATTTCTGATGTAACACTTTATCCAACAACTGGTTTTATTGTTTTCTACTCAGTGGTTTTAAATCAGTGATCTGCAGATTCCTGGGGTTCTTGGACAGCTTGGGATGCCTGAAAGTTGTCCTAAGAAAAGCAGGTCTGTTGTTACTGTGCTTGAGTTTGTTGCCTAAGAGTTTGCTCCATCCCAGGAAAATATTTTGCATGTGCACTAAGCTCAAAGATTGTAAATAACTGTGAGAGTGAAAATGCTCTGAGACTGTTTCCCTAGAGAGAAGCTTCTAATGAAACCTCCTGTTTCTGTTTTTAGTTATTATTTCCAATTTGTTAGACCTTGTCATTCTTGGTTAAATCTCAGTTGATGGAGGGCTGGAGTGAGAACTTCCACCCTTTTTCCTTTCCTCCTCCTGCCTTTCCAAGCAGGTAATTTGCCTCCTCATCATTTCTCTGTTTACTTTAGGTGAACTGCCTGATCAAGCTCTCCAATGTGTCAGAACACATAATTGTGTTCAGCTGTTTGACATACTTATGTAGATAGCAGGATATTGTTATTAACCTTTTTCTATACAAGGCTGATTTCCATGAGTACTTTAGGGTAGAGAGTACTTTGAGAAAGGCATAAGTTTGTCATAGTTTCTCAAAAATAGAGCTAAATGCCACTGCCCTTCATTTCACTGGTCTGTAGCTTTATTTCTGGGCAGTTTATATTATGGAGGTTTAGAAATAAATACTTTTTTTTTGTAATGTTTGAAGGTGGTGGCCAAATCTGTGTGCAATATGCAGAAGGTGGGAATTCAAATGCTGGTCTTGGTGTTGCTGCAGCCTCTGGCTCCCCCATGGAAGATGCCCTTTCCAGCAGCACAGAGACCTCTGGATCTACAGCAGGACAGAGTGCAGGTGTAGCATGCCAGGGGTGGGGACTGGCACCCAGTCACACCTTGGCTGCAGACATGTGTAATAACTAGGTCACATCTTTCCTTCTGCCTGGCACCCTCCTTCTCGTGCCAACTGGTGAGAGGGTTAACAGGGAGCCTTCCTCCCACACCCACATAATTGTAGGACTTTCCTCTTGTCTCTTCTTAGCTTTGGGAGCTTTCCTTCGTGGGCACTTGGCTGGAGAATTGCCTGTCTGGTGTCAGAGGCAGGTGCAAGCCAGGGGCACAGAGCTTGTGTGGGCAGAACAACAAGATAATTATGTCTTCCACTGAGGGCAGGAGTCTGGAAAAGGTTTCTGTGTATATCTAGGTGTCCTCTGATCAAAAGGTTTTCAAGCTGCTAGTACAAAGGGACTGTTATCTTGCTGGTGAAAAATTGCAAGTATTTGCAATCAGTTTGCATCAATCTCTTTGGGGTATTGTGCTGTGCTGATTTAGTAACGTGATAACTTCTGGCACTGCTGCAAAAGGACAAAATAATCCTCACCATCAGCCTGCAACAATTCGGTATTTTTGGTAGCCACTAGAACATCAGTCTTAGAAACAGGGCTGCTAAGACTCCCTGGATCTTGTTTAATAAAATCATGTAGTGAGGGCATCATGATTATAAATCACACTTGGAAATTGGCCTGCAGAGTACTTGCTGGGTTATGTGGTGTCATGTGTTCCTGGCTCCTTTTTAATTTCCGAAAAGAAGGCATATAGCAGCAGCTGGAGCTAGAGGTGGAATTCATTTAGCTGCTTCAAGAAAGCCACTGCCAGCAAAAACCCAGCAGCTCGGCAGTCTTTGGTCGTAGAGAGGGGAAAGGGATCCAAGTGACTGGAGCTGGTGTAATGAGAAGGAAAAGAACCAAATGATTTGGCAGCATGTGAAAGAGGTAAGGATGTGGTAGAGAAAGGAGCAGGAGGAGCTGAAATGAAGAGCAGGAGTAAACAATGTAATTTAACTTATTCAAAAGGGACAGAATGCTTATTAAAGCTCTGAGAGATGATAAATTAGTGCTTTGCTGCTATTGTTATTTCAGATAGAGTTGTCATATGGTAATGCTGGAGGCTCACAGATTCATAGAGGGGAATGGAAAGTGGGATATTTGGTTACATGATTGAGCGCTGGAGTCGGTGAGGCAGAATGTGCAGCCCTGATTCTGGAGAGCATCCTTACATATGCGTGCTGTTCCCAGGAAGGCGCCGTCACGTCCTGAAGAGGGATGGCTCAAAGTTTGTGTCCTGCTGCTGTGAAGACGTGTCCCACGCTGAGAGCTTTTACCTTGGTCGGGAGGAGCTGTCGAAGCCCTGCTCTGGCTAATGAAACCCTGTCTGAAATAGCCCCAGAGCCCTCACCTGGAAGTGCTCTCTGGCTGTTACTCCTGTGGCAGCACACAGAGTTATCAGGAGATCATTTGAGGTTGTGGAGTTTTCCCCTAAGGAATACTGGGCTGGGGGAGGGAATCGCAAAATGATTCTTATCTTACATTACACAGAGTCTCTTGCATTACTTACTGTGGCATATTGTTTCCTCCCACAGAGTTCTGCTCAATCGCTTTCAGGAAGAGGCTACTCCGTAAGTCATTTTACAGCTAATTCTTTCACTTCTGTTGATGTTGATTGCAGAGGTTTACACCACCTATTGCACAGCCACTGACACGGAAGAAATGCAGAACAGAAACGGGGTGAGGGCACAGGGCTGTCGTGCACCTGGCAGGGGACAGCCCTGACATGTGAGAGAGCATTAAGAGCCTAGGGGCTTCTTAATTTAATATTATACTTATAGGGAGGATTTTTTTTTGTCAATTAATGCTGTATTTCAGCTAGATAGTCACCTCTGGAGGATTACAAGACCTGAGTGGGGAGAGTTTTCAAGCAGGAGATGCTTCCCTCCTCTCCTCCCTTCCCCATACAGGTTTTCATTTGTCTGTTAAATACAAGGATCAAGTACACAATTACTCCCATTTTACAAAGAATTAAGACCCCTCACCATTGTGAACAAGAAAGTCAATATTCTCTTATTTATGAGCTCTGAGTTACAAAACAAGCTCGCATGTCTGTTTTCAGGGGAGGATGTTGCTGATGTTTCCTTCACACAAGTGCCACAATATTCAAGGGTGGTGTTTCAGTGTCAGGACACATCTGCCTGTGTATGCAATGTACCAGACATGTTTAATTGTCCATTTCTGTTCATATGTGCCTTATTTGTATGTGCAATAATGACATTTCTTCACTTAGAGGTGGATTAATTTGTTGTGATTACGTTTTCTGCTCAGCTGTCCAAAAAGGCAGGCACAGACATCACTGAGTCGAGTAATACAGAAATAGGAGAGGGTGTGAGAGGCTTAGCAAAGTCAACATGAAAATTCCTGGAATCACATTATATCTGGCTCTCAAAACAAATGTATGGTGGGCAGATATGATACCCTGGTTGTTCAGCCAGTAAGTCATGTGGAGTGCAAAGGTTATAGATGAAGGTGTATGCAAATCTGAACGTGAATGTCTCAGTCCAGCAAACAGTTCCTGCCTACGCTGATTGACAGTAATTGCTGTTTTCACAAGCTCTGCCATGATAAAGTTTTGCCTTCTAGGTGAATGGTCCCAAACTGATACCAAGAGCTAAAGCTGCTCATTCTCTATAGGACCAGAACAAGGGTGGATTTTATGTACTTCAGGAAGTTGATGTGGAGGCTTGGATCACATTTCTTTTTACAATAAGCACCAGAATTATTTACTTTCAATAGTTTATGTTGTAAGTTTAAGGTGATGGAACTTGCTGAGCTTCTACCCAGTGCACAAAGAGAAAAAATTGCCAGGCAGTGCAGAATTTATGGTCTGATTTCATAGCAACGCTGTCCCTTGCTATCATGTGTATTGCCAGAAATTCATAATACAAGATTAAGTACATTTTCATCATAAAACCATTAGAAAATAATGTATGACTTGAAAAGTCTCACTGTTTTAATGAAAAAATGTCACAAATTTTTAGACAGTAGTTATATGTCTACTAAGTATCCTCATGTCTAAATCTTGCCAGTACCTCAGGTGAGTATTCATTGAGGGATGAGGAATGTTTGCTCTAGGACCCATTAAGTGCTGCTTTCCATTCATTTGGGGATTCAGATTCACCTAAGCTTCTAAAGGCAGATGCTTTATCTTCTCTTTGTCTGTAAAATGCCATGCATGCCCATGGCACCACATAAATAATAATGAATCATCTTCACAGATTTTATGACTGAGGGCCTGGTTTGGGAACTAAACAATTTCCCAGTGGCTATAACATAGGTTGCAAAATCGTAATGGAAAAAGGCCAAAGAATTCTTCTCAGAGTCTCAAGGCCAATAAATCATAGGACTGTTTTCTTCCATTGCTGGCTATTCAGAAATTTACTTTTGTTTCTTGGAGAAACGATTTTAAGAAAATTACTAGCTCCTTCTCTGTGCATGTATGGGGACAAGGTTCTCTTGTTTTGCCAACCATAACTTCTCAAGGGAGTTAAGAGCTTTCTGCATGCCAGGGCAGTATTTAGAGATCATGAATAGTGTGAACTGGCATCGCTTTTCTTTATGGATTGTCATTTTCCCTGTTAAACTGCCTTCTGCCCCACCATGTGCCAGCTCTTGGGACTGTTTCCCCCAGACTCCAATGGTGCTCTAAATTGATTTAGCAAAAGTCAGAGACTGTCACTGCCAGACCTCATTGGCCCAAACTCCCATGGGAAGCTGATCCTCGCAGGTGGCACAGAGATGTTCAAACCACCAGATCCAGACAGCTGGCCCCACACCAGGAGCTGTCCATAACATATATAACAGTTTTCCTTTTCTCACAAAAGCAGCTGTCTGTGAAACATGAAGTCACTGTTTTGGCTCTGCCCCGTTTCCATCGGACGCCTCGTTTCCCAGACATGGTGAAAGCAGTGGTAGCAGGAGGCACTGCTGTGCTGGGTGTTCCTCTGATAGCTCTGCTGATGGCTTGTGTTGTGGAAGGCTTGTGGAATGATGATCTGTATCGTTACTCAGTGAAGTTCTTGTACTGGGTTCCATCAGCAGCTGTTTAAATACCACAAACTATTTTGTGCGTGCTCAGTTTTAATTACCTCGTTCTGAATCCGCACTCTTCACCATTCACTTGCGTCAGCTGTCCTTGCAGAGATGTTTGCTTTCAGAAACATTTGTAGAAAATGCACACTTTAAGGAAATGAGCATTTGCAAAGAGAGAACTTAGAACTTACAGTAGGAATCTTGCATGAAAAAAAATCTCAGTCCATGGTTTGGCTCATCCAGCTGAGCCATCAAGGCCTGTCCAGGCAGTCAGAGCAGGCTCATTGGTGAAAAACCTCAGCAAATGCCTTGTCCATAAAGTGCAGGCTCTGGAGCTAGAGGCAGGAAGAAAATGAAATTCAAGTGTCTAAATAACTAACTCCTGAGGGTTGGATATTCCAGCAATTTCATTGACTTCAGGCTTCCCATGGAACATTAAGTGCCTAAATAAGGAGCGTGCTTGAAATAGCTGTGAAATTTTGGTCTCATTGAAGTTACCACATAACCTCTGGTGAACTCCAGCTGCACCTAGATTTAATTTGAGTCTCAAAACCATCAGTAACAGTGACCTGGCACATAGTTTCAGAGTCTCCTGTACATACCATGGACAAAATCTCTTATGATACTATTTCCCAAAATGAAGTTTCAAATGGTGTTTACTTTTACTTGGATAGGACGAGACATTTCTATGTCTGTACTGCTGCTGCAAGCTCCTTCTCCCATCAGTAGCATGTGTTTCATATCCTTATCTCATTAAATGTATACTTCCGCTGTGCTGAGAAATAGAACACAAGTTTGTTTATGGAGGTTAATATCTCATTCCCTCTATGACTTGATGGTTACATTTGTGTGATAAACTACTCCAGCCATTTGTCACATTTCCTGCATGCACAAATGAGATTAGTGATCTTAGTCAGAGAGGTCTGTCTGTCCTCTGAGCAGACAAAACAGATTCTCTTTTAGGTAACAGGATGCGAGGCCTGTCTACCTGAAAATGCATTGATTTTGTTAAAAAGTGCATAGACAATCAGAAACTAGAGTTAGAATTTGTTGAGGTTTCTATGTATCACTGATACATATCCACTCTGTGGATGTTTGTCATTTTTTTTCCCGATAGTTAACTTAGAACCAAGCATAATTATAAAGTAGTTACAATGAATATAAGATCAATACATACAATTTGTTATTAATGGCTAAAACGTTGCGATTGTTTATAAGGCTGAACACTTTGTAGAGACAAACCCAAGCTGCAGCTGAACTTAACTCAGTTTTTTAGAGAGGATGGAAAAGAATAGAGCTGGGGAATATACAGTAGCTTAAAAAAATAAACGAAAAACCTCTTCCAATAAATTATGTAGTTTATTTATAGAGCATCTGTGCAGCTGTTCGTCTTCTGAAATGAAGGGGCTAAAATATGTGAGTGAATAAAAGAATAAACTTGAAAGCATATGGCAAATGGGTAGCCAGTGAGCCAACCTGTCTGAGTGTGTCTTGGAACGAAAGTACAGGAGGATGAGACGTCTTTGTTTGGTTTTATTTGTTCTTGAAAGGGTTTTATTTTTTTAAATAAAAACAGTAACATACACTTGGCTACAGCAGCAGCTGATTTTTATTCTGAGCTTCTGTAAAATATCAAAGTCTTTGTAGCCCAGTCAAATCCCTGGCAGCTGATCAAATTCTGTTGATTTTACATCTTCCTTGTTGAGTGCCGGAAACCAGTGTCTCAGATAACTCAGGCTGGAGCTCGTGGATAGAGAGAAATGTGCACAACACCATAAGGCCTGCAGAGACTCTTGGGTCAGCCAGAGTCAGCTCAGTGCTATCTGCAACCTTCATTCCTCCTGCTTGGTGACGCAGCCTGAGAACAGTTATCTTGTCCCCTGGGTGAAGTTGAACCTGAGGTGACTCAGGCAAGTGCTGGGTAGGCTTTGAGCACCCCAACCCCAGTCTGCCCCTTCCTGGCTGCTCCTCTTAAATGATCTTGTTCATTTTTGGAGCTGGCTTTCCAGCCAGTTTGGATCTTTGCTGGCAAAGATCTTTACAGCCATCCAGGACTCTTCTGTGCTCTGTGCTCAGTGTTGCTGCACACTGGAGCTGTTGCCCAACCACTCTGCCCCTGTCAGCTCTCTTGGGCTCATGCCCATGAGTGCACTTGCTGGGACAGCCAGTTCTGAGCTGCATTCCCCTGCTTGGCAGCACAGAGATAATGCCCAGTTCAGCGACCTCAGTGGGAGGGAGGACAGGTACAAATGGCTGTAAAGTGCAGGGAAATCATCAGCCGAGGAACTGTTGACTCTGTGGGTTTATGTCCCCTGTAAAGGGCTTTTCATGGCCTCTCTCAGTTTTGTGCCAGCTCAGTGGAGTTGTATGAAAGCCTGAAGAAGCCACCAAGAGACTGTTCTCAGGCCAGAAATCCTTGGTGTGAGCACAGGCACGTTCATGGCCTTGGTGTAGTGGTTACAGGGGCTCACCAAAGATCACACCAGCAGCATTCCCCAATCCACTCTGTGCTCTTCTGCTGTTTGGTTGCAACCAA